AATACTGTAACAGTCTTTCCAACTATTGAAGCACTTATTAGGCGTTATTTACGGCCAAATATTATACAATATTTACTTAATCAAATGAAAGAAAGCGTCTATTATATTGCATCACATTCTAGTATTAAAGAGGTTAAAAATATGTCTATTAATGAGCCATCTTAGGATGAAGATCTAAAGGATGAATTGGATAGTGTATCTATATGTGCAAAATTTCTTTTACAACAATTAGACTATTCTAGCATTGTTGAAATTTGGAATATTTCACGGGTTACGAGTCATAATATAAATCATATTGTGTTTTGTCTAAAAAATAGATCATACTGTTGTACATATTTACTTCAACAAAAAAAAGGGCTTGTTTGCCGTCACTATTTTCATTTATTGAATATCACACAAACAGCATGATTTAATATGAGATTTATTGCTTCTAGATGGATTCCTAAAGAATCTCATCAGGATATAGCAGTGGAAGGTGATCATTTTGGGCAACAGTTTGTTGACAGTATTATAGAGAATAAGGAGAACATAAAAAACAAAGGTCAAAGTTTAATTGGATTCAGCCATTTCATGATATGAATGAGCAAGAAAACAATACAAATGAAAGTTTTGTTGATGAACTATTATTTTATAGAAGAGTATGGGGTTTGGCATATACTGCAACAAACAAGTGTTTATTGCATCGTGATGAGGAATTTATTAAGATTATTGAAAACTATTTGGCAAGTATACGTAAATATGAAGATAATTTTATTCGAAGAAATAGGTGAAATTCTGATTTAGATGATAATTCAAATAAAGAAAATGAGTTAATAAATGTTCAACTTAGAAATCCACGAAAAGTAATTACAAGAGGCAGACCAAAATTCGTAAGTCATCATAACAATGAGACAAATAGAAAGAATAAAAATACAATGCAAGAATCGATGACACATAGAAAGAGAAAAAGGGGTCCGAATCTTTGTAGTAACTGTAAAAAACCAGGTCATAACACTGCTAGGTGTCCTAAAAAAGATGTAGAGCAAACAAGTGAGGAAGAGACAGAAGAAGAGACGAAGTAACACAACAAATAGTTTATTTTTCTATATACAAACAGCATACAAGGTATAATTTTATAGCTTGCGTTGTAATTATAAAGTTATATTTAATGAACTCTAAGCTTAAAAAGGTGAAACTCCTAAAAATACTACTTGGGTTTTATTGGTGTCATTCATATATTCATATTCACTTTCTTGTTTTTCTGCAATTCGAAATATTTAGTGCTAGTGATTTGTTTATAAATAAAGCTGCATATAAATGTAAAGTTAAATAACATTTAGTATAATACTATCCCTTAAACTGTAGGCTTTTCCAGGCAAATTTGCCTGGAAAATTATCATAAATATGGTTATGATCTACT